CAAGCCTAGGGCCTAGACGTGACCGGCGAATGGGGAACCCGAAGGAACCCCAAACAAGCCTCATAGCGTATCATTACACATCCTTGGTCGCGGAAGCAATTAAAATGACCATAAGCAATAAGCATAATCAAAGGGGGAAATTGGGACTAAGGGAGCAAGAGAAAAAAAGAAGAAATGATACATAAATACCATAGATGAGTCAAGCTCAAGCATAATACACAACTTGTCCAACACCACCTCTAAACATGAGTACTTAGCGGGGGCCAAGACAAACTACCGGGCTCACCCTCATAGTCAAAACATAACTAAAAAGAAAAGTCTTATACAAGCAAAAGATCATGAGCAACGTCCCCGGAATGGAGGACTCACCAATAACCTTGATAGGAAATTGTATTAGCCACGCGGAGGAGGATGGTCAAGCGGTGCTCCGGTCCCTACATGGTGACATCATGTAGGCATAGAGTATGCATTAGTACGTTTGAATGTACTAAGTATATGGGATGCAATGCAACGCTACAATAGATGGACATCATAGGAAAAATGCATAATCATACCCAATAGATAGCACATTAGAGAAATGATATGTATAATGATGCTTACATAAAAATCATATTTAGTGGGACGTAGTACATGTGTGGTGAGTGACCATCAATATAGTATTTTCCAAGGCCTACCACCCCCTTGGAGAGGCGAAAGAGGTACAAACTCCTCAATGTGGTTATCCGGGCCTACCACCCCCCGAGCTAGGGACCAAGGTACAAACCCCTCGATGTGGTTATACGGGCCTACTACCCCCCGTACTAGGCAACCAAGGTACCAACCCCTTGATACGGTTACCCGGGCCTACAACCCCCCGAGCTAGGCTTGGTCGACTCACATCACTTATATAGAGAAAATCATATACATGTATCCCTTTCATCATCATTTCAATAATTATATAATCATCCGACTCATAGGATGTACATTGGACCTTCCATTTCCTATGAATTCTATAAATGACATTTTATCAAACACATGGTGGGCTATTGTTCATGTAGATAAAATCATGTCTTTCAAGAGTACTAAGTCCAACCAATTCCGAAATACATATAAATCAGCCCACCAACAACATACATATATATATCAACCTTCATAATTTGATCATGGAAGCATGGAAACCATAAACATCACATAATAATTTCATTTCATGATAATATGCAAAAATAGACCTTAATAGAATGTGTAGTAGTAATTCCATAATTCAAGAGTTCATAAATGATCATAAGGACCCATAAACTTGAAGTAAAATAGAGGATAAATGGTTGGACTTGTGGAAAGGAAGGTTTCCACAATCAACCCACATACCTCAACTTTGGAGAATCCTTGATGAAGATTGGAATGGAGAATTGATGCTTGAGATTGAGTCTTGAATCCGGAATTAGAACTTGAGATGTTTGAATTTGGTTGAAGATCTTGGTGGAATTTTGGAGAGGGATTAGTGAGTGTTTTTGAGTGTTTTGAAGCTAGAAAGAAATATAACTAAGTATGGGACAATCCTTTTTTTTATAAAAGAAAAACGTCCCAGCCGCTACAGTAACGTAGCTCACTGGAATTTGCGATTCTGCCCGGACATGTTTCACGAAAATGGTCATAACTCCTTCATCCTAACTCAAAATGAGGTGAAACCAATTGCATTGGAAAGATAACTCGAAGGGCTTTAATTTAATAGGTAGTGGCCCTTCCAGTTCCTTGTGTGCTAAGAGATATGCCCCTTTAAAGTTGACCCTGAAAATTGCATTTTTTGCGATTTTCGAATTTTGATACGGTTGCTCTAAAATTCGGGTTAGACCCATTTCCCACTCAATTTTACCTCCTGAATAAGAATATGAAGTCGAATTTCCGAAATCATGCACGGATTTTGAGATATATGGAAACTACAATTATAGGTGTTTCCGAAGCACATTTTCCGGCATTTTTTGGGTTGTTTCAGAAAGAACCCTAAAAATGGTGAAAACGTTCTCCCAAGTCGTCGTTCTTCAAAACCCAGAAAAGTAATAATTAATAAAATAAAATAATGACCTATTTATACTAAAAGTCGAAATGATCAAAACTGGGCACAAAAAGTGAGACGCGGAGGTAATCTCTTATTTTGTTTTGAGATAATTTTCTTTTCTCCGCGACGCGGGAGCTACATGGACCATTCTGCCTAAATCTTGATTTCGCGAATTAAATTATCATTCCTCTCCGCGACAAGGAGAGGATACAGATATGCCTTAAGTGACATTCCTCCAGCTTCTTCCTTGCCCTCTTTTGCCTCGGATCTTTTGTGTTCCTCCATTGTCCATTTTCGAGCTCGTTTCTCCAATTAAGCTTACCTACACAACTAATTATGTTGGTTAGCTCATAGACAACCAAAAGACTCAATAAAACTATAAACAAACACATATTGAATTCAAATCAAGCTTAAATACAGGCATAATTAGTTTTCTAGGCATATAAATATGCCTAAGATCATTTGCCTTCAAGAGAGGCACACATTGATTTGCATGTAGTTTTTTTACCAAAATATTTTGTGGGTGTTTTTATTGATTTAATAAATTATGTGTGTTAGTTTGAATGGGCAATTATAGGTATTTATAAGTTCAAATGAGGTATGGACCGTGAAATAGAGTTTTTATATACCCGAAACTAACATCTAAAGTCAAAATTATGAACGTTTGAAGTTTCTCTTATTTACAACTACACTAGCCTCTGGTAATATGGTCATAATGCTTTACTTCAAACACTTAATGATACAAAATCGGTGGCATTTGAAAGACAACTCATTGACCTACAATTTCATATGTCATGGCTCACCTAATTCATTACGTACTTAAAGATATGGTAGTGTACATTGTTTGCCTTCAAGAAAGGCACACATTGATTGCATGTAGTATTTTGACCATCACAAACACCCACAAAAAAATTTGGTAAAAAAACTACATGCAATCAATGTGTCTCTCTGGAAGGCAAACAATGTATACTACCATATCTTTTAGTACGTAATGAATTAGGTGAGCCATGACATATGAAATTGTAGGTCAATGAATTTTCTTTCAAATGCCACCAATTTTGTATCATTTAATGTTTGAAGTAAAGCATTAATGACCATTCTACCAGAGACTAGTGTAGTAGGAAATAAGAGAAACTTCGAACGTTCATAATTTTGGCTTTAGATGTTAGTTTCGGGTGTAGAAAAACTCTATTTCACGGTCCATACCTCATTTGAACCTATAATTACCCATTAGAACTAACACACATAATTAATTAAATCATCACAAACACCCACAAAAAATTTTGGTCAAAAAACTGCATGCAATCAATGTGTGCCTCTCTTGAAGGCAAACAATGTATACTACCATATCTTTAGTACGTAATGAATTAGGTGAGCCATGACATATGAAATTGTAGGTCAATGAGTTTTTTTTTCAAATGCCACCAATTTTGTATCATTTAATGTTTGAAGTAAGGCATTATGACCATTTTACCAGAGACTAGTGTAGTTGTAAATAAAAGAAACTTCGAACGTTCATAATTTTGGCTTTAGATGTTAGTTTTGGGTATACAAAAACTCCATTTCGAATTGGTATTATGACTATTTTAGCTAGATTGTATTGTTTGCGGTTGTTTAATAACATTTTTATTGTTTGACTGTATCGTACTGTTTGTAATTTATAAATTTACTAAAATGTCCTTAATTATTCTAAGATAGGAGATTTGATTGAGATTAAATAATATAGGGTAAAGGATAAAATAGTATTATGAAATATTAAGTAAGGATATAATTGGACAAAGAAATTAAGTAACAATGAGAACACACCAAAACGGTTGTTACATAAAATGGAGGTTTTCATTGTTATGTAACAACGAAATTTAACAATACAATACATTTTAAATAACAACCGAAACAAACATTGTATGTATGATAACAATACAATACAATACAATACAATGGGTAACAATGATCCAAACAGAGTATTAATGTCACACCTACAACTTATCGAGAATGTGATTTTATAGAGAGTGTTTTTTTTATTAGGATTATTATTATTAGTCTCCTACTAGATTATTCTTCGATTTCAGTTTGACTATGGTTTTTTTTATTTCTTTTGCTTCGATTATCGAATTACTTGTTGTCTGTTATAGTACTCTCTTTTTAGTATGACTTTTATACTGTGTTATTTGCTTTACATACTTGATTATTAATATGCATAACTTGAGTTGAGGATCTATCAAAGAACGATCTTTCTATTTTCATAAGACTATGTACACATGATTATCTTTCCTAATCCTCACTTATAGAAACACAAGATATGTTGTTCATACGATGTCCTAGTATTTGATTTTTGAATTGATTTGAAAGCATGCGGAAAAATCTTATTTCATACAAAAGATGATTTCATTCTCAAAACTCGAATCAAAAGTAAATGGTGGTGTTATTAGTTGTGAAAAATGTTATTGACTCGTGCATATGTTTTATTGATGAGTGATCAAGTAATAATCACATTACTTAAATGTGCACAAGAACCCTCCCAAAGTTGAGAAAATACTTGTTTAGGATAAAATTAATGTAAATAATTAAAAACATTAGCTACTAAAATTACAAACCATGCGTATCTTTTAAAGAACTTTAATTATTTAAACATAAATTATTAAAAACAAAGTACGAACTAGCACAATTATAATAATTTCTCGAATCATATAAAATGAGAAATACTGAACTTTCATAGGTAATTATGATACAAAAGGCAATTTAAATTTATGTTATTTGAAGTTAGGGGGAGGAACTCAATGACAACATAAACAATTTGCAAAGACCTAAATAGTAATTAAAAAGGGTTTAATATGCACTAGCATACTTCAATCATGACTAGTGATCTTTTTCTTAAAATACAAAAATATCAAGTGAAGTATTGTTTATAAAGAATTTTAAGAAAAAAATATCATGGGGCTTCTAATAGTAGATAGAATATTAGTGTTCAAAAATACCAAATAGCATAAGTTGAAGAAAAACAAGTTTACATCTAAGCACAAAGCTAAACTTCTGTTGATGAAACTACCTAAACAGAAGCTGAAATTCCAAAATTTTCAAAAGTACTTCAAACTACTTATAATACATTGAAACTTCTGTTGAAGAATGCAGCAGAAAGAAGAGTGTATATATCCTCTTTCATAGCATCCAATTGTCATTCCTCAAATAAACAAGTGCTTATAGTCACCATTTGCCAGTCTGCAAACTTTGTCATAGCTATTAACATCTGCCACATATCGAAGAATTTGTAGATTAGCAAGTACATATATATATCATCAAGAGACAAGCACTAGATACATATCATAAAGTTTCTATAAACCTTAAGTCATAAGTAGAAGTTTAACAAGCAACAAACTATGCTTACATGAAATGCTTATACAATGTGTCAAAAATAAATGCAGTCTGGATATCATTGACGACTACATTGGTCTTGAAAATGTTTGACAGAGCAAGTATAAAACAGCTATTGCATGATGGTAGGAGTGTAAACAAAGTAGAACACTACTGAAAAATATCGCACTAACCAAATTTCCCTTTGTTTTAATCCTTGAATTTCATATAGAAACAGGGACAATGTACACTCTACCCTCCCCAGACACCATCTGTGGGATTACACTGGATATGTTGTTGTAATTTTGTATAGAAACATTTCAGAGAAGTGAAAGAATGAAGATAAAATTGGCCGAGTTGGGAAGGACAAATCTGTTGAATATCTATAGATCTGAAGGTTCCTAGTAGATGATAACCATACAGTTTGCATACTCATAGTGTTATCATCAATTATAGATTTATGAACTTAATCAAAGAACACCTTGAAAAATACGCAGAACAAGACACAAAGAAGGGTACAACAACAATGACAAACCCGGTGTAATTCCACGAGTGGGGTTTGGGGAGGGTGGTGTATATACAACCGTACCTCTACCTTGTGAAGGTAGAGAGACTGTTTGTGATAGACCCTCGGTTCAAGTATAACATATCAAACTCAAGTATGGAAAGAAAATACAGTAATGAGAAAATAATGCTAAAGATAAAGGAGAAAAAAAACAGCAAAACGACAAAAAAGACGTAAATGAAGCAAAGGAAACAAGTAATAAAATCATGGATTTGATTGCCGGTGAAAACATGTATGGTACAAATTGACATTCAAATGCATTAACAGATACAGGAGAAGCCAATAAATATAAATAACATAAGCAAGACATACCAAATGTATCACCAAAATTGGTCCAAATTTCTGCTTCAATAGACTGGATAGTGTCAGCTATACCAATTACTTCAACAAAAGTTGAAAGAGCGTTAGGTGGATTTCCTTTCACAACTAACTGTATTTCATCTGTGGATTTTCCAATGACTTTATCACCATCAGATTGCATAACCTGAACCACTGTTCGAACCTTCCGTCCTACATGCTCCTTAAGGAACTCAGCATTGACAAAGACGGCAGGATTTGACATGTCCATATCTACCAAACAAAAATAAAATAAAAGCTCAAAATTGAGATTGTGTTTCTTTTCTTCATGCCATTGCATCATTAACTTCCAATGAACAACAGAAATCAACTAAAACATATGAAATTTTCCATCTGTATCTCAAATTCATTCGCTACACGAAATTTAGGATTTTGAGTGAGATCACATCTACAAGCATTTCACTCTTGACTATCAAACTAGAGTCAATGACTAGTTACACTCCAAGAACCTTCATTTTTCAATAACATATAATTACAAGGAAACTGCAAAACCAGAGACACAAATGAACAAAGTGTAACAACCCAAATCATTAAAAAATGAAAAGATCTATTAAACACAATTTTGTAGCAACTTGATACACTATTAAGTGTAAATCAGGAAAATCTCTATACAGAAAATTATAAGTGGAAACTGTGAAACTAAAAGCCAACGCTAGAAAAAAAAACCATTATTAAAACAAAACTGCGGGTTCAAAATCAAAAGAAGTAAACACACATACTAGCCGAATGGATTCAACATGTACATATAAATATAGAAAGTAATTTTAACGTAGTATAATTTTCATAAAATGAAACAAAGGGTAATCATAAAAATTCAAAAAGACAAACTTTTGTAGCAAATTGGTACATTTGTGTTTCCCTTAATAACCTAATTATTACAACAAACCCACAATCATGAGGACGGAGTTCATAATCCTGTAAACACTGAACCCCTTCGCGTAGCGTGTTTACTTCTTTATATTTTTTTTAACAGAAGATCGGACGCTGAATTCATTCATGAAAATCAATAAATACCATTATGCAGAGAATATACAAAAATGGAAAAAAACTAACCTAGGGTATGGATGATTAACTGCAGAGAGAGAATGGAGCTGATGAGTTTGAATTAAAATTTGGGAAAATGGAGTTTTTTCTACTCTTCATCATATGGCGGCAAAACTTCCCGCGCAATTCATTCTATTGGGCTAAGTTTGCAGCCCTCTGGCCCATGGACCATAATGTAGATTGATGGGCCTAATTGCACGGTTTGCTCATCTTTAATTTTTGTTCTTTATTGCAAGTTTTTTTAAGAGCATGAAACATAACTTGCGCGATATTATAAAGTGAAATATAGGGGAAAAAAGTTTTTTTTTTCTTGAGGGGGTAAAAATTAAAGTCTAACCACTAAATCATTGCTAAATAATTCTCAGAGTTTCCTTTATTAGATTCAAACTATAAAAACTTTGAGTATCATTTTACGATGTATATTTTAATCATATTGATATGCAAAAAGTTGCAATTTATAGTAATTTTCGTGTAGTTTTTGAAGATTTAATTTTTTTTGTTTAAAATATCAAATTAATGTAATGTAATTTAACTTTGAAAATTAATTAAATTGACCTTCGAAAAGTGCAACATGACAAATAAAAATAGACAAAGAGAGGGAGTAATAAGTTTTTGGGATAATGTAATGTATTATCTTAAATTCTCATGGGATCTAATCAGTTATTCACCATTAAAAAGGTGACCTCCACTCTTGCTTATTATAAATGTAAAATCTACGTACAGTCCATCAGTCTCGCAAAGAACAAGTGTGGAATCAATTCATCCTACATTATTTAGGTGCAAGATTTATCACACCAGAGGACTTCCCTTCTATCTTTTGAACTAAAAAGTTTTTGGAAATTGTTGAAGAAAACGAAACCTCCACAAACATCATCTAAAGTATTGATCTATAATCCCTTAAATCAATTGATCATTTACCACTATAACAGATGAGGCAAAAAAACGACATTATTGTATTGCCTCTATTGCATTTTCTAACGTATGTAAAGATATACAATCATATACATCACTCTGTAAGTACTTGTTCAAGAAATTTACAGCACCTTACAGACCTTTAGCTTCATATAAAGGGGCATTTGATGCGACGAGCAGCTTACATTGGAAGGATAAGAAAGTTGTAGGACATACTTCCATACTAGAGCAACAAATGCATATTCATTTCCAAGAAGCAGACCTTTAGCTTCATATAAACATCATATTGTTAAACTCATCGATGCCAGTGAGCCACCTTGACCGTCCAAAAGAGAGGAGCGAGGAACCTCCTGCAAGTATCCATCATCTAAAAGGAAAACTCGTTCAGCCATTAAAACTGTTTCCAAGCGGTGAGCAATCACTAGTACCTGCATGTAAAGATTTAGACGATAATTAGAACTGCCCTGAAGGATAGGTGTGCGTGCATGTGAAAGATATCGTCAATTATTCTTGGTAATAAAATGTGTCATCAATTAGCAAACTTCAAATCAAAATGGCTTAACACACTTCTAGTGCCAACAAAGTCAGGTTTCTCACATCTCAGGCACGTTTTCAACAGCACCCAGTGAAGGATGTTTGCTAGACAAGCCAAGAATTTAGTTCTTCCATTCACATGTAAAAAATTATGCAGTGAAGAAAATTAAAAGCAAACAGGGTAAGGTCTAAGGGGTATCCACAATTTTACTCTGTGGTACATAATTCAATAATGATAAAGGTACAGAACATGTAAATCAGTAGCGGAACATGCATATAACTACCCCCTTCCAGCTGTATTGTGAGGTTCCCTATCTTGTGGAGACTGTTAACCAACGTCCTCATTCTCATCTATTGTGAGAGTTACCCTGCTTTACCAGAATAGACATTTGCTTTTTTGTACTTCCTTTTTGGTAGATAAGATTCGTATATATTTCCACTCCATATGCATCATCATGGTTAATAGAGAGGACCTGAATTTTAACTTCTGTAAAAATAATTACGACGAGAGACAGGAGAGGTTGAGGAGCCATGGTACTGAACTGTAAACAAAACCATAGAAGCTTCTTTTACTTACGGTACGATTTTGCATCAGGTGCTGCAGAGCTTGTCTTACCAACAGCTCTGACTTGCTGTCTAATGCTGAAGTAGCTTCATCCAATATTAGAATAGATGGATCCTGATAAAGAGCCCGAGCAATAGCTATTCTGAGATGAAAATGAAAAGGAATGAGAGAATTTCCTAGATCAAAACAGGTTAGCTATTAGCCTATTACAGCCCCTATGTTTACAATTGCAGTAAGTCTTTAGGTAACATGAGCATTGGTATCAGGTTCCATAGCATTCCCAAAAGATCTATCCCTTGAGAAGGTAGAAAAAAATCTCAATTCAGTAAAGAACTCAGGAGAGACTGAATTCAAACACACCCAGTATCCACAGGAATTACCCAATGAAAATTGATGAAAACAAAGAAGCTGAAGTACCCGAAAAGGGGACCCAAAATGAATTTGGAAAAACATTAATTTATTGAGAAAATCAACTGAAGAGGAAGACCTACAGTCAATCCTGAGAATCAAGGACTAGTCGAGATTAGATCGACTTCTCTTCCTATCATTTTTGGATTGACACAACTTTCTTGGTGTGAGATTATGTTACTCCCTTCGTTTGAGAAGACGTTCTCAAGAGGGGAAAGTTTTCTTTCTAAAAAAGTAAGGCATACTACTGATTGATTGTGTGAGAGAAATATATAAGAAAATTCAGAAAATAAAAGGGTATTGGTGGGAAAAGTATCATACCTTTGCTTCTGCCCTCCACTGAAAATTGAGCCCCTAGGTCCAACATTTGTCTCATAGCTAAGAGGAAGCGCTTCAATAAATTCTTCGGCACTTGCAGTTCTGGCAGCAAGCTTCACTCTCTCCATATCAATACCAGTCATTCTATCCCTATATCCAATGTTCTCGGCGACACTTCCAGAAAATAATGTCTGATAGAATTTTAAAAAAATTGGAAAACATTCAGCTGTGTAGTTCCTCTTTCCCACTTCAGCTGACCTTGCTAGCGTGGATTTAAGGAATGTGTTTACAATGTAGGAGTTAGCTCCAGATTATTACAGAGTATCAGCCCAAAAGTGTGAAAAGTGGACAGTTGGTTCAACAAGATGCTATCTCTTTGCTAGAATATCTACTTTTATTAAATGAAATGTTTCAATTAACTTCTAGATAATAAAAGCAATGCCACCCCACTTTCAGGAACAGGTATTTTAAATTGACATGTAAGATTTGAAGTCCAACTAATATATAGTAGTTCCACTTATTTAGGAAGCTTTTATCTCTAATTGTATATGAGGCATGAGCACAAACATGGAAAAAGTTGAGGGAGTATTAGTTCGACTTTTTCGAGATGAGGAGCTTTGCCAAAACGGAAGCAAATTTAGTTGAGATAGACTCAAAACATAACAAGGTCAATCAGAAGGACAGGTAGCATTATTCAAAAATAGATGCTCAATAGATAATCAAGTATGATTGTAGGAAATATTTTCACATAGTATTTATAAGCACATTTCACAAAGTATATTGCACATTCAACTTTCTATAATTTGATATCCAAGAAATAGACTGGAGCAAAATAATTAGGAAACATAGGTAATCCTTAGCAATGCCCAATTAGTTCCTGAGAAACATCCATCTGTAAAGAACCTGGAAGCACTCCCTTTGCAAAGAAAATTTTACAAACTCTATGCGGTAACTTTTCTTAATGTTTCTCGGATACAAAGAAGAAAAATGAAACGAATATTAGAGCAAAATCAAGGACTAAAACTTAAAAAGAGTATAACAGTCCCCACATTTGAAACACTGCAGTACAAAATTCAAATTTGGGTCAACAAACCATGGGAAATTGTTGCTTTGGAGAATCTTTAGACGCTTTGTCTAAAACTCCTCTCCTTTGACTAGATCCTTATAGTGTAAAAACCTCAGTTTTAGCAACAAACTAATCATTGAACCTCTATTGGCTCTAACAATAAATTTGAGTCTCCAATTCTTGCCATCCACGACGAGGATATCGATCATCTGCTTACCCCAGTACTGCCAGATGATTCTGGTTAAAAACCCTGTAGCTTAGCTCTCCAAACATGGAAGTTTTTGATTTTATAGAACGCGGTAGATTTGAGGTGAAAAGCTCCACTCTATGGAACGTAACAGGAGGATCATGCAAAGAAGTAGGGTATAAACTAGTACCAGGTAATGAATCTCCATTCCCAACCCCCAACTCCACCAAATATAATTACACATCAACAAAAGAAAATGGAGAAAACTTAACACAACTACTGTCTGCTATTCGAAAGTGAAATGCATAAGCATCAAAAGTCTTGAACACTACAACAACTAACCACAAATAAAGGATTAGCAGTATGTTGAAATAATTAAGGCAAAATAATTCATCATATCATGGTTGTAAATAGGGAAAGAGGCTTGGACTTACTGTATCTTGAGAGACCAAACCAATGTTTCTCCTTAAACTCTCGATTCGTATGCCTCTAATATCCAAACCATCAATGAAAATGGAACCTGTCAGTGAGGAAGTAAACCTTGTCATGCTACAGTACAAGACAACTTTTATATTCATCATTGAGGATCAGGGCAAAAGAGAATGCTAGACTGTGGTGTTGTGGTGACAAAACTGCTAACCTTGTAAAGGATCATATAAGCGAAGAAGGAGTTTTACAAGAGTTGTTTTTCCTCCTCCTGATGGTCCACACAGGGCAACTATTTCACCAGATTTAATATGTAAGTCCATGTTTTTCAATACAAGAGGTCCATTGTCTCCATATCTAAAAGAGACGTTAGAGTATTTTACTTCTCCAGCAACACAATCTAAGTCAACAGCATCTGGGTTCACAATTTCCTGTATATTTGAACATCGTAGATATTCAGGCACACTTGGTTGCATGATTCTAGTTGAAAGTAGTTAAAATAACATCACTAATTACAAGGATGTTCAACATAAAAGTAACCTATATTGAAAGAACTTCAGAAATTTTATATTAGCGAAGATCAATCAATCATACCAAGTAGAAGATGAAAGAAGCAAAGTGTAAAAAAACCACCTAATAAGATGGAGCTTTCAAAATTCTAAGAAGATAATGAAAGATAGATAGAACTGACTTGGTAGCCACTGGAGAGCTATCTTTTTTTTCCTTCACCAATCATGACATGAATTTTATTTTGCTATTGTTATTGTCCTTTCAATCCTGCTTTGATTACACTACTTTTGAGCCAAGGGTCTACCGGAAACAGCCTCTCCACTGCACAAAGGTAGGGATAAGGTCTGCCTACATCCTACCCTCCCCATAACCCACTTATGGGATCACACTGGGTATGTTGTTGGAATGATGATATGAATAAAATATGATGATTATATGCTTGCAATAATGACATTAATGGAAGCAGTTGTAAGCAGTGTTGTCAAAGGTGAAAATCTCTAAAAAGCACTCTAGGTTTGTGGTTTAAGTTCAACAGGCGATTTAACTGTAGGCTTTAGTGAAGAAAAAGGCGCAATTAAAGAAAAAAATAGAAAAGTATGCATAATTCAAGGAAAAGTAACATATTTCATTCACACTGTTTTCCTTAACAACTACTCCCTTAGTTTTGATCTAAGTTTCTTATTTTCCTTTTAGTATATCTCAAAAGGAATGCCTCTTTCTTTCTTTTTTATTTATCAGGTAAAAATATTTCATTCATAAACATGGCAAAAAATCTGACAGTATATAAGGGCTACACCAAAAGACCCATAAACTGAAATGAAGGGAGTAATACACTAGTGCTTATTGTATTTGTTGTTTAGTACCAGCTCGATTCAAGACAGAACTCATGCGCAATGAGGTGCACACCATATTGCCTTGCCTACACTGAAACTTAATCGAGTTAAAGCGCCTTCCCTGAGCTTCTCAGGGCTAGCGCGCCTTAAATAAGCCTTTGACAACACAGGTTGTAAGTATTTGACTCTTACATCTGACAGCATGTGTTTTTGGTTTCAGGTTCAACAATGCAAGACTAAATTATTTTGTATTGTTACTTAAGAGAAGACCTAATTCTAGTTCTGCCGCTCTCTATCTTACATGCCATTACCAAAGTCACAGAAATCAACAAGTTATATATTTACCTCTGGTTCAAATGTTGTCAAACTAAATAGACGCTGAATTGCTGGCTCTCCTTGTTTTAATTCGTTGTATGCTTTTCCCACATCCTGCACAACTCTTAGATTCAGATTGATGGCTAAAATTGCTCCACATGTTAAACCATAATATCAACATGAAGCAGTATGAGAGAAGCCCAACCGAACAAGAAAAAAAAAGTCAAAAGAGGAGAGGGAAACATAAAAGTGTAGGTCACTTCCAATATAAATGGGATCGAAAGTTGATCAAATTTATGAAGCCTCTGTCTTGAGAAAAGCTTCTTCTATTAAGGGAAAGTTTTGACTGATTCACAGTATTATTCAAATCTTCCTATGGATGCCTTCTGATGTCAAGACGACCTCCTGACTAACCTTGTTCCACCAGTTCTAGTTCCTGGATAATTTGGTACTATTAGATCAGCAATTCATAAGGTAAAGCTGTCTCATGATTAATTATACTTGTAGGTTGTGCTGCATGATTCTTATCCCAACGCCCAAAAACAAAGCTAATGTATGGGGTCCAGACTCCCAGGTAACACCTACTGCTATATGCTTTCAATTTTTATAGAGTAACCTACTTCTATACGCTTCCTTCTTTCAAGTAACATCAAACTCGAAGCAATGTGTAATGCAACAGTTGAAGTGATACAAGAAAAATATAAAGTAGTCGTTCAAAAGTTGGTTTAAGGGAAGACAACAACAACAACATACCCAGTGAAACCCCACAAGTGGGGTCCGGGGAGGGTAGAATGTACTTAAACCTTACCTCTACTTTGTGGAGTTGGTTTAAGGGAAGAACATCACATAAAGTTGAAATCTGGATTCTTGAAATTTGTATAAGTTAATCAGGAATATAATTAGTTTAGAAGTGTGTTGTGCACATGGGATGGAAGTAATATAACCTATTTATCTTATTTCAAAGATAGGAGACATATCAAATTTCAAACAAATGAACTTACAGAAACATAATCCTTCCAATAATTGAAACATAACCTGGATTGGGGAGATCAACAGAACCAGGGATGTCACAAAAGAAACCATGGCAGAGCAATCAATTGAGCCTTTTGAAACAAGCAGCGTTACACCGCTAAATGTGAGTAAGGTGCCAAAATATATTGCCTGTACCAACTGAGGAATAAATGACTTCAACTTCTTCTTTCCCATAGTCGCAGATAGATCAGCAAAAGCAAGTGACTGGAACTTCTTTCTTTCACAGGACTCCGCATTGTTTGCCTTCACAAAAAGAATTGATGGGAGGATCTGTAACCAGTAGTAATTTTCCTTCAGTTACTGTCGAAAGCTTGATTCTTTGAATACTAGGAAGAGAGTAACATAGAACAAAAAAAGCTGGAAAAGAAGGGAGAAGGTGGAAGACATTTTCTCCATGAGTTGGAATGTCCATGAGCATACGTTCATTTTGGAAAAACAAAAGGTATACCAAACCTCAAACTTAAGAAGACTAAGAAGCTATTGCGCTTTGACTGAAATTTCATATTGGAATGAAATGGCCCTGAATAACACAATGGATATAGAGAATTCATATGGAAAAACCAACTAGTTTTGGATCAAAGCCAGTTGATTGATTCATTATATGCTATTGTAACCAAAAACACTTACCTCATTCAGATAGGAAGAGAGAGAAGCAGCAGCAAGATGTGCCTTGTTTGATACATCACGAAGTTTTTCGCCCAAGTAACCAATCACAAAACCCATCAATGGGATCACCTTAAATAACACCCATCAAGATTCGATATAAACTCATCCAACATTCATAAATAATTCATAATAATAGAAGGAAAGAACTAATGCATCTTTTGTCACCAAGGCGGAAAGTAATGATAGAACAGGGTTGATGACCAACATCTGAACTGCCATTGCTGATAATTGAAGACTACTTGGTACAATAGTCTGTAAATAGCAAAGCACGAGATTTAGGAAGAGAAAAGAAAGAGTTTGTTGAAGACATAAAAGTAAATAGTGAAACAATTCATATCGTTCAACATGGTACTAATAGCACTCATGAGGTTTGAGTCCAATGAACTCTTCCAAATAGTATTTCTATGTGCTTATCCAACAAAAGAATCACACAAGTGAGGGACATCTTGCAAACATAAATAAGTATCTGAGATCAAATCTCATGGCCACTGAGGCCGAACCTCTTCGCCGGAAAATTATCCGACACAAATACAGCAAAACCAATTCTTTTTTGGTTATATATAAACTGGTGAATCCTCTTGACATAAGAGAAGGCTCTAGTCTAGTGTAGTGTTAAGGGGGTTCAAAAATCGTTTTCTTAGATCATAGGTTCAAATATTATATATGATATCCCACCCAGTAAAACAAAAATTTCACATGCATGATCCAAGAGAGTAATGGTGAAAGGGTGCTTGCAAGCACAACAAATAAATATAAGTGTACCCTTATAACTGTTAAAACTTTTCGATTATGCAGTTCACACAGTTCAGCAACATAAAACATACAGAAACAGATGATCCATGAGCTTTGGTCGTTGGGAGTAACAACGCATTATTGTCTTAATGTGGTTCATTCAACATTATAAAAATACACAAAACTGGAGGCTCGAGAGCTAGTTAGTAAGAAGCTATGCTGCTCGGACTCTTCAAAGATATTGGTGGGTTTGTGTAGCATCAGCTATGCATTTTTGGAGATCCAACACAGGTGCAACAACATTTTTGGAGAGTTCGAGCAACATTGGTTAGAGATATCAAAGCATCATTTTCTCAACTCACATTCAAGAGAGAATAAACAGTATCAGCAACATCAGAAGCTTCAGCAGTAATCCTATAAGCAACATCTCCAGCAGCAATCCCATTTTCTCCCTCAAAGAACCCTAAATCTCTCTGCAAAACCTTATGGAAAACACAAACCCTCATCTTATACACACAATTCAACGCAGCTTCCCATAGAAACGCTTGCTGCAGATAATTACCAACGAGTCGAACGAAAAACAAACCTCCCAAAACCAAACACTCCTCTCTCAGCCTCACAACATCCAACGGATTCATGAGAGACGAGAATTTTCCAACTTTGGGAACAATTTTGGACAGAGAGTAAACAGATAAAACACTGCAGAGCCATCCACAGAGAATCGGTTTCCATTCCGAAAGGAGATAAGGTTTAAGAGGAGCTATAGAGGTGAACGGAGAAATGAACTTGCCGGAGTTCGCAGCGGCGCGTGTAGATGATGATTTTATTGTTAAGGCTGAGGTGGAAATGGAGAAATTGAAGATGATGTTAGTACTTGGTTTGGTTACCTGGCGGGGGACTGTGAGTTTGTGGCGGCGAAGGGGCGGCGAACGGCCGTGATACGGCGGTTTCAGGTGAATTAGGGACATTTCCCGGTGGTTAATTTAGGTATTTGCGGTTTTGGTCCCTTAACATCCATACACTCGGATTTTGGTCCTTGTACTATATACTTAATTAATTACATTTAGCCTGCAATTAAGAAATATACAACTTTTGTCCTTCTATTTTGAGCATTGTCTTGTTTACCCTTTCGGCTTCCATAATAGTAGTCGTAGTATTTTTTCTCTATATATATATTGTCTCATGCACTTCGATTGCCGCATTATTTTATTATAGTTATTGTTCTTATTAGTAATTTCTATAGTATTTTGTCATGATTTGTTTACTTTTCAAAAAATTTCAATCAACTTTGATATGCTTTTTCTTGAATCGAATCTATCAAAAACAGTCTCTCTATCTCTCAAGAACATGTTGTATTAAAGTAAAACTATATATTGTTGTTTTATTTACGAGTAGTCGTTCTTAATCCCTTCATTTAGATCCAAACTAGTCCCTTTGTACTTCCATCATTCTTTAGCGTAGATACGACGACAACAACAACAGACTACTGGAGTCCCACAAGTGAGGTTTGGAGAGGGATACATATGTAGTCTTATTCAAACCTTACTAAGGTAGAGAGATCTAGAGAGTTTCCGATAAACTCTCAGCTCAAGTAAAGCACATCAAAATATTTGAAGAGAACAATAGAACCAACAAATAATACGGAAACTGAAGCAAAGAAAACAACATACAATAATAATACGAAAAACGAAGCAAGTGAAATTATCCTTACTCTTTGATCAACACAATTAACAGGTTTTAAGTTGTTCAAGCTAAATAAGTTACACAAACATCTAGCTTATAGGAAGTGGTTTCGAGTTGACATCCCATCAAAGCATCTACGATTCCTTTCTATCCAAAAAATACTTACAGGCACATACAAATCTTCTTCATAAGCACTAGCATTCCTATGCCAACAACTATGGTACAGTGCAGAAAGAGGTGACCGATACTTTTCAAATCTTGGAGACGCGTGTAACATCTGTTGACAAGTTGAACGCTTCTAACACGGGTATGACAACAGTTTTTGGAGAGTCAGAGTCCAAGAAACTAGGTTCTAACAATCAAAACCTCTTTTAAACTTATATTGAGCAGTAACGAGATCTTGATTTGGGTTTGGCATTAAGAAATGTGACAACAACATGTGAAGAGTTTCCTCTATTGCCTCTTATGTGTCATTAGACCTATCCCAAACAATTATCAGCTTTTCTAATACTAGTGCATACTAAAGGAAAAACCTTAGTAGCTCAATCTCTTTATCTTCGTCTTTGAAACCAATCAACTGAATCGACTTTAGATGAGACTCCAAGCACACAACGCTTTCACTAGGATCATGGAACTTCCAGTTTTCATCCCAACCATAATTCTCGTCAGAAAACAAATTAAGAACCTCTAAATTAGGAGAATGCTTGAGAAATAGCATCATGACTTCCATGCAAGATTTATCAATTGCCACTGCCAATTGTAAGAACTTAAGCTTATAAAACGTGACCGGGAAGTTTCTTACTCCATGAAGTACACCATACAAACCCTGAATGGAACTTTGGCATAATTTCAAAGTTGAAGTAGAAACGACATTCTTGATCATCTTATGCACACACATACCAATTTCTTCTGTTACATCGTCTGAATCAAAAAAGAAGAGGTGAACAACTTCTATAGAGAAGAGATTCTCTAGAATTATATCCTTTGCCAATGGAGCACCATATTTCAAGACCTTGAGATTCGGGCAAGAAATTTTGATGTTACAATTGACGAAACTTACTCTGTTGTCCACAAAGTTCTTTATAGACACATAAACCAGAGACGTCGAAGCAATATCAACCATAGTCATACTTCCAAAATTACAACTATCCAATTTCAGTTTTTCTAGTCTTGAGAACAAGCAACTCGTCAAATGCTCGTTTGATAACTCAACTTCTTCAAGATGAAGAAATTTAAGCTGATGAAATCTGAAATGATTAGGTAACTTAAGTACAGACCCATCCATTCGTATTTTCAAAACTCGCAAAGATTCACAAGTCACAACACAATATGGCAACTCAAATGGCTCAGCAGGACAAAAAACTAACACAAGTTCTTGAACATTTCGAGTTGTCACAACACGAACCCATCGAAAAATATCCCCTTTATAGAAAATATTCCCACAACAAAGCTTAAAGCAAACAAGGCTCACGGCTCAAGGCTCAACATTAGTCATTGTATAGAAGTGGAGTTTCACCCTACGTGCAATGGCTTGAATAATGTCTTCAATTACAATGGCTTCTAATAACTAATCTCTCCTGTGATTAACGAGCTATTGCATAGAAGTGGAGTTTCACCCTACGTGCACCCCCAAAGGTTAGCGGCTGCGGGATTTCTATTGCGACAGAGGGAGGTATCATAATAGAGTCAAAATCACGATTAGAGTCCATCCGGATAAAAAGAAGAATGCAATCCCCTTCTGCTCTCTTCCCTCCCCCTGGCCCAAGTTATAAAGATAACATTAGTCCACATTTGTGTATTTTTAACTCAAGCTTTTGATGAAGCAGAAGCCATAGTTAGTGGTTGAAAACCATTAATCAAGACTTGCTTTCCACAAGCCAATCTTGGAGTATACACCAAGCACTCATCACTCTTCTTGGCAGTAATCATTGTTGGTGTGTGAAAGTAGAAGCAATCTCATAAGCCGGGTTTGGAGAGGTGTGTGTACGCCATCTTACCTCAATGTTTCCAATAGACCCTCGGCTCAAGTAAAGCTACAATAATAATACGAAAAATGAAGCAAAGGGAAATTATCCTTACTCTTTGATGAAATAAGTAATTTACATGGCTTAAGTTGTCCATCAAGCTAAATAAGTTACACAAACATCTAGCTTATAGTTGGGAGTAGTTTGGAGTTGAAATACACCAAAAACACCAAAAAAAAAAAATACTTGCAGGGACATCCAGAGCTTCTTCATGCTTCCAGCATTCATATGCATCTTTTAACTGTGTATGGCATGACCCACGCGAGTCCAAAAACATAATAAAACACGTTTCAGAGGTCAACAACAACCATATAGTGCAGAAAGAGATGACTGATACTTCCTAAATCTTGGAGACGCGTGTAACATCTGTTGACAAGTTGAATGCTTCTTTGTCCGGAGTCAAACATGCTTCATTGAAGGCTGTCTAGTGCTCATTGAAAAGGCGAAACAGTAGTAGAAATTCATAAACTTAAGGCTTCATGTGCTTGCTCATGCACTAGTTCTCTAAAAGGGTACTTCTAGCCTATGTTGCTTGGACACTTCAAATGTATGTCGGATCTTCCAAAAGTAGTACAACATTTTTGGAGAGTCAAAGTCCAAGTCCAAGCAACATAGTCTCACAATCAAAACCTCTTTTAAACTAAATTGTCCCGGTAACGAGATCTTGATTTGGGTTTGAAATTAAGAAATGACACAACAACATGCGAAGAGGCTCTAGGAAACTTCGAGACCTCATCGGATACCTCTTCTAATATGTCATTATAGCATTCCCAAACAACTATCAGTTTTTCTAATACTTGTGCATTTTTAAGGAAAAACCTTAGTAGCTCTATCTCTTTTTCTTCATTTTTGAAACCAGCCAACTGTATCAACTTTAGATGAGACTCCAAGCACACAACGCTTTCACTAGGATCATGCAACTTCCAGTTTTCATCCCAACCATAATTCTCGTCAGAAAACAAATCCAGAACCTCTAAATTAGGAGAATGCTTGAGCAATAGCATCATGACTTCCATGCAAGATTCATCAATTGCCACTGCCAATTTTAAGCACTTAAGCTTATAAAACGTGACTGGGATGTTTCTGACTCCATGAAATACAGCATACAAACCCCCAATGGAACTATGGCATAATTTCAAAGTTGAAGTAGAAACGACATTCTTGATCATCTTATGCACACACATACCAATTTCTTCCATTACATCATCTGAATCAAAAAAGAAGAGGTGAACAACTTCTATAGAGAAGAGATTCTCTAGAATTATATCCTTTGCCAATGGAGCACCATATTTCAAGACCTTGAGATTCGGGCAAGAAATTTTGATGTTACAATTGACGAAACTTACTCTGTTGTCCACAAAGTTCTTTATAGACACATAAACCAGAGACGTCGAAGCAATATCAACCATAGTCATAGTTCCAAAATTACAACTATCCAATTTCAGTTTTTCTAGTCTTGAGAACAAGCAACTCGTCAAATGCTCGTTTGATAACTCAACTTCTTCAAGATGAAGAAATTTAAGCTGATGAAATCCGAAATGATTAGGCAACTTAAGTACAGACCCATCCATCTGTATTTTCAAAACTCGCAAAGATTCACAAGTCACAACACAATATGGCAACTCAAATGGCTCAGCAGGACAAAAATTTAACACTAGTTCTTGAACATTTCGAGTTGTCACAACACGAACCCAGCGAAAAATAGCCCCTTTACCGAAAATATCTCCACAACAAAGCTTAAAACAAACAAGGGTATTCCCACATTGGTTAATAAACACCCAATTGATAAAATCTTTGAATTTCTCAGCCATACCCAAATCCCAAGGCCTATTAATCCGTTCACAACCAAAGCTATTAATATCAAAATTCAAGTAAGGCATTGTCCTCCATATATAGTTCCATCTTTTCGACAAAATGCTTAGCTGAACAACATCGAAGATGTAGAGATATGAAAGTATATTGTGCAATATATCATCCGGCAAATAGCTAATTCTATCGACTCCTTCACTTGTACTGTTAATAAATACAGCTAAAAAATTGGGGGGTTTCAATGATTTTTGCATCAAATCATCCATTTTTCGAAGGATTTAAAAGCAGAAAACAGTACTGATTTCAAATGTATAGTGAGATTACCTCGCATCCGCAGATTTATCAGTCGAACGAGAGTGAATAGAGAGCTCTATCAGCCAATTTTAGGGCTTTCCAACTTTTTATGTTAACTGAAAAGGGAATGACAACGAGGGTTGGTACGGAGGTTCGAGTTCGTTTTGTTAGAAAGCGTTTAATTCTTAATAAGTTAATGTGAAACTTTTCAAGACGAATTCGACCTTATGAGATAAGTGGAAACGAAAGAAAATGGTTTACAAAATTATTAAAAGCAAAATACTTAGTTTTGATCTAAAATAATAAAAAAAATTCTAACTTGTATTTTTAGTTTATATCAATTTGTGTGAGTCATAAATCGAAAGTCAATTTAAATAGACTCTTAATCATGTTCTTACCAATTATTTGTTGAGAATTTCCCTTCTTCTATGTAATTAGTAAGTAAGATTTTTCCATACTAAGGACTCGAAATTGAGACCTTGACAATTATTTTAAGTATTTGTTCTTGAGAGAAATTTGTTACTGTTAATAGTGAATTTGAGTTTTATATTTTTAAAAATAAAATTCATATATACTTATAAATAGGAGTGGTTTGTCGTATTGTCCTTGCTAATATTCTAGGATGAATTTTAGTTTCTTGTTCTTCGATAACTCCCACTAGTTATTATTTCGTATAGTTTGATTGTAGTATTGTTATGCTACTATCTTTAATCTATTGCCTCTTTCTACTTTCATTGCGTCTTATTTAGACTATTTTTGTCTTGGTGAATGTTTATCGATAACGGCCTCTCTTCTCACTTCTGAGGTCTACCCTCCACACACCCCACTCTATAGGATTATATTGAATATGTTATTATTGTTATTGTTGTTGCAATAAATATTTTTAAAAAATTAATTACATGATTTGTTGGTTCATAACTCATCAAAATTTATAACGATTCACAAAAATAAAAATAAAAATTTAATTAATTAAAGACTAAATATATTTAATCAGATTCACTATATATATCTTTAAAAATAGAAAATTAAAATAGATTTAGGAATATAAAACTCAATAATTCATTCAGATATTAAACATATCTCAAATTCAATGTATACACCTCTCAAAATGACTCAAAATTGTCCTCGTAATTCATAAACATTATCCAAGAACAAAATTATAAATTACCTCTTCACTATAAAACCTAAAACATAAATAAATATTAGCAAATTCTTTATATGTATGAATTTGGTGAATATTAAAACTATATTATAAATAAATAAAGTGCTAATTAATTTGATCTCTCTCTGAGCTTTTTGGTAATGGCAAAAATAGCCCCAGCAACAGCAACAACAACTCCAGAGATAATCATAGCAGTCTTGAAATTTTGTATTGCATCCTTTCTATCTTTTTCATTTTTCATTTTCTCCAATTTTTCCTTTGCCTGTATTAAATCAATAATAACATATTCAGTATAAATTATAATCCCCGTAAATAATTTTTGAAAAGAATAATGTGTATATAGATCTTACCCTTACAATATTGTGTCTGAAAGACACTCGGCTAGCAAAACCGTTTCATTCAAGAAAAGAAAATGAAAATATATACCATGGTTTATTTTTCTCATGCATGAAATATTATTCTTGTGTCAATTTTTTTGGGAAAAAGGACAAATATACCCTCAAACTCTCGTAAATGGTATGCAGATACCCTCCGTCATACTTTTGGGACATTGGTGCCCCCTGCCGTCCAAAAACTAGAGCATATATGCCCTTCACTCTAACAGAAGACTAAATAGGGACACGTGACGCAATCTTATCCGTCGATTCGATATTTAATAAATGTCTGGTCGGTGGATAAGATTATGACACGTGTATGTTTGTTTATATAAAGGGTATATATACTCTAGTTTTTGGGCAACAGGGGAACCAATGTCCCAAAAGTATAACGGAGGTATCTGCATACCATTTACAATAATTCAGGGGTATATTTGTCCTTTTTCCCATTTTTAAAAATTCAATGGGATGCTAGTAAGTTATGAATGAGTTAATATTCTCAATCTCACTCTATATTTCATAATTGCAAATTATATCTTAATTACATCTGATCAGTAGTTGTGGTGAGATGAATAAGATTTCTTCATTCTTAATAAGATATTTCATATTCAAGAAAATTAACCATTACTTCAATCTCAAGTTAGTTACGTAGCTTATATAAATCATCTATATATATCATTAACCACTAATATGATAAAAATGTTTGTTATTTTGAAGATCATTAACGAGAAATATTTGTCAAGTTTACCAATGAAGAGGACATACAACATCATCAAACTTCGATCTATTATTGAAAATTATAAATATTTGTCTAAGACCACGATTAGACATGTCTAAACGAAAAACAAATCAGTGTGTCGATTTTTTCTAGCAAATTTCACATAATCATGTAGAAGCTTTAATATTCTATAGTAACGCATTTAAGGACATGAAGTTTCTTCTCCTAGCAGACTTAACCCTGAACGATTTTAATATCTCGATTAGTTTATTTTTCCAAAGAAATTAGATATGATTACCTCTTTTTCAAGTGAGGAAGCAACTTGTGATGATACTGAATCAACTTGAAAGTCCTTATTGTTTTGTGGATTCAATTCTTTTTCAGCATCCACTGCTGGAAAACTTTCAACTCCACTTGCCATATTTTGCTTTTATCCAAACAAAAAATTGTAAATATTTTAATATTTTACTCTCTTTTGTTGTTTTACTTCACTTTGTTTATGTAATTATAATATATTGAATTATGAGATTTTGGTTAAAAAAGTAGGATTAAAAAGAATAGTTTTACCTAACACATGGATGACATTCCTTGAAATGATGCTACCATATATAGAGGATCTCAACTACTTTGAGAAAATGTTGATTATGATTTATGTTTACTAGAAAATAAAGGAAAAACGAAATTTGATTTATCACTAATTACTAGAAAATAAAGAGAAACAAAAAATTGGCAAAATGTTGATTATGATTTGTGTTTTCTTTTATTTTATTTTTTTGGTTTGTTTTACTTATTCATGTATTTTATATTGCTCAAAAACAACATCTCTGCCTACTCGAGTAAGTTTGTCCACACACCATACTCTCTCATCTCCATATGGGGTTACAAGATTTTGTACGCACCACCCTCTCTAGACCCCTACGCTGGCTATATTATTGTCATAAGTTATCACTACTAACAACAACATAATACCTGATAAAATCTCACGTGTAAAGTTTGGGAAGGTAGAATATACACAAACATTACCACTATTTTGTGGAGGTAGAGGTTATAGACTCTCTGCTCAAAGTTTTGTAAATATGAACTTTTTATTTGAGTGCTACATTTTTTTTATTAGCTTTTGTTGCTATTCAAAGATTGGCCAAACAACCTTCATTTTTCAAGATAAGTGGTTTTGAAAGAAAAGAGAAAAAACCACTTAGAAGTTTGGCCAAACATGCTATAGTTAAGCAAAAAACTTTTGAATGTAAAACTTTAAAGGAGTGGGAAAAACTAACAAATTTCCAAGATTACAAGATGGTTATGTGAAGAAATCAAACCCTTTAAATACATCAACAAGACAATAGTTTTACACAAGAAGAGGGACAAAACTATATAGTTGAGAGTACATACAATGTACTATTATCTTGTCAAGAACTTCCCTTTCCTAGTTGATCATTTCCTTTTTTGCTCACAATTCCTTTTTCTAGTTGATACTCATAAATAGCTAGTCAAAGATGCTAGCCCTTCAAAAATTTGATTGACATATTAGTCTTATACTTCAGTTCTTTCCCCCGAAACCACGAGGGCTAGGCCTAGCTGATCCTGAGTCTGCAAATTGCTTCCTTGGTTCTGACCTTCGCTTCCTCCTTGCAGTACCGGGAGGAGCCTGAAGAAAGAAGGAAACAAGATGACCATTCAAGACCATCAGCTTAAGGTGCAAATCTAAAAATACATGGCAAACATGCACTTTTCGGGTACAAGTCCAGTAAAAAAAAAATGCATAGTAGAATAGGTTTCTCCATCTCATACAACAGAAATGCGTATCAGATTGAACAGATGTATTAGCAAATCCTCGAACGAGTGGAATTTACAATCTTGAAGGCATATTGGAAGAGAAAAGAAATACTATGTAAGAACTCTTTTTTCCCCGATAACTGTGGTGTTCGGGGCCAGTTTGTGCACACCGCAACTAATATGTAGGAAGAAATGATTACAGCGTAGTAAGGAGCTCAAAATTGGAACTGACTACTATATCCACATATTCTAATTTGATAACAAGTAATTCAGCCAAAAATTTAGACAAGATAACTTTGTCAAAAAAAATTTAGACAAGATAAGCACCTGCTGTTCAGATTTTAGTGCCTCCTCTAGATTACTCAGTGCAGGAATCGAACCACCTTCCATAACGCCCATCAAATTCTTCATACGTACACGCATTTGAAAAAGTTGAGCAACAAGTTGACTCACCTACAAATTGCAATCAAGTTATGTAGGTGCATGCAAGGAGTACCGAACGTTCTCAGACAAAGAATTTATGTTTTATGGCATATTAGCATCAGTACTCCACACAGATTTTTACCTGTTGCTCAGTTTTCCCAGACTCTTGAGCAATACGTTTCCTTCTAGCAGGAGATTCTGCTAACAATTCTGGTTGCTCCCTCTCCTCTGAGAACAAAGATGAAAGACAATGAAATATGAATTGAGCTAGCAGCACTAGAACTCCTTCCTTTTCAATTTGATTCTGGTTTCCAAGTAAAGATACATAGAAAACTAAAGATACATAGAATGTACCAAAATGTCCTTTAATCTTGTAGTCTTAAACGTGTCATGTGGAAAGTTAGAATTACTGAGTTGCCAAAAAAAGAAAGAGACATTTTTTTTTAAACGGACTAAAAAGGAAAGTAAGACAAACAAATTGAAACAGAGGAAGTATACATGTTTAGGTTAGACAAAGTAACATGTGTCCTTAGAAACCTTGAAGTAAGATAAATAACCTGGTGTCATGACTTCTATCATTGACTCCATTATCTTTAAGCTCTTCTCTGCCTCTCGAATTTGTGCAGGAGTAACCTGTTTATGCATGA